ACATTTGGGACACCTTAGGAGGGATTGGTGACACCTTGGGGACACTTGGGACACTGTGGGGACATGGTGGGGACCCTGTGGTGGCTGTGCCCACTGTCCCTGTCCCAGTGTCCCCTCTGTCCCCAGTGCTGGTGGCCTCGGGGAGGCTCCGGTGGCAGCGGGAGCCAGAGGGGACAGCAGGGGACAGCAGGTGAGTGACACCGGGGACACTGGGGGTGGCACTAGGGACATTTGGGACATCAAGGTGACACTGGGGATGTTTGGGACATTGAGATGGCCCTGGGGACATTAGGGGTGGCCCTGGGGACAGCAGGGTGACACTGGGGATATTGAGAGGTTACCTTGGGGACAATGGGGACATTGGGGACAGTGGGTGAGTGACCCTGGGGACATTGTGGGTGGCCCTGGGGACAGTAGGCACAGCAGGTGAGGGACACCAGGGGGGCACCGGGGACAGTGGGGACATTGAGATGACCCTGGGAACATTGGGGGGTGACCCTGGGAACACTGAGGGGCTGGCACTGGGGACAGTGGTGACACCGGGGCCATCAGAGGTGGCCCTGGGGACAGTGGGGACAGTGGTGAGTGACACCGGGGTGGTACAGGTGACATCAGGGGGTGGCCGTTGGGACAGCGCTGAGCCCAGTGGTGACACAGTGGCTTTGTCCCTTCTCTGTCCCCTCAGCACGGTGGCCCCGGAGGTGACATCGGAGAAGGTGATTGGGTGGCACCAAGGGGACACTAGGGGTGGCTCTGCCCCCAGGGTGTCACCCCTGTGTCGCGCCCCCCAGACCACCAAGGGTGGGGACAGGACCCAGCCACGCCCGGGCACAGGTGGGTGTGTCCCAATGTGTCCCCAAATGTCCTCAAATGTGTCCCTGGTGTCCCCAGTGTCCCCTCAGTGTCACCAAACGTCCCCAAATGTCTCCCAGTGTGTTCCCAAATGTGTCCCTGAGTGTCCCCAAATGTCCGTCTGTGTGTCCCCAAGTGTGTCCCCAGTGTCCCTAAATGTCCCCTGATGTCCCTTCAATGCATCCCCAATGTCCCCAGATGTCCCTAAAAAGTCCCTGAATGTCCCCAAATGTCCTTCCCAGTGTCCTCTCAATGTTCCCAAATGTGTCCCAAGTGTCCCCAAGCTTTCCCCACTGTCCTGTCAGTGTTCTCAAATGTCCCTCAGTGTCCCCCAAGTGTCCCTGAGTGTCCCCAAATGTCCTTCAACATCCCCAATGTCTTCAGTGTTCCCACAGTGTGTCCCCAGATGTGTCCCCAATGTCACTCCAGTGTCCCCAACGTGTCCCTGCAGTGTCCCTTGCCCCGCTGGTGATGCAGCTCCAGGCCCTTGGTGCCGCCATCCTTGGGGACATCACAGACCCCGCAGTGCCAGCGCCCCCGTGGGGACACCGGTGACATCATCGGGGACACAGGTGACATCATCAGGGAGCGGTGGCAATGCAGGGACAGAGATAACATCACTGTGGAGGTGGTGACGTCGCTATGGTGATGTTGATGATGTCACTATGATGGTGATGACATCATGGCTCTGCCCCAGCCCTGGCTCGGTGTCACTTTGTCCCCGCCCGCCCCCAATGTCCCCAAAGCCGCCACGACCATCCCAGAGGGTCCCCAAAGAGTCCCTGATGTCCCAAGGAGGTTCTTTGGTGTCCCCAACCCCCCCCAATGCCCTCCAGGCGTCCCCACATGTCCCAGGAATGTCCCCAACCCCTCCCAGTGTCCCCAAGAGCCCCCAAAGTGTCCCCAAAGGTGGACGTGGTAATAGAAGTTCCCATGGTAACAGAAGTCCCGCCCATCCTGTGCTGCCATTGGCTGCTGTGCTCAGGACGGAGAGCACTGATTGGCTGGGTTTGGAGGGGGCGGGGCTAAATGCAGAACTGGACCCAAACCAGTAAAGACTGAACTGGGAACTGGGATCAACTGGGAACTGGGTCCGAACCAGTACAGACTGAACTAGGAGTGATCCCAAACCAGTACAGGGGCTAAACTGGGAACTGGGATGAGCTGGGACCAGTGCCTGAATGGAGACCAGAACCCCAGACTGATCTGGGAGCCACAGGGGTCACTCACAGACCCAGCACTGCTTCTGGTTTGTACTGGTTCATACTGGTCCCCATTTCTCCTGGTCTGTACTGGTTTATACTGGTTCATACTGGTTCATCCCGGTCACTGGCCATACTCCAGCCCCCCTGTGGGTCTCCTGTGCTCTCCCAGTGGTGTCTGAGCCACAGGGGAATGATCACAGCCCAAGGGTCAGCAGGAATGGCCACAGGGGAATGGCCACAGCCCATGGTCAGCCAGAATGGCCACAGGGGAACGGCTGCAGACTGAGGGTCAGTGGGAATGGCCGCAGGGGAATGGCCGCAGCCCGGGCTCAGCCGGACGCGTCGCTCGCCCTTGGGCCGTTGCCACCGAGCGCTTCCTGTGGTCCCGGCGGTGCCCGGCCTCACCAGTGCCTGGGCCGTGTGGCCACTGCGGCACAGGAGCTCATGGCCGTGCGGGTCCACCAGTGCCCAGCTGGGCAGCAGCGGGTTGGTCAGCAGTGGGATGTCCAGTGTGGTCACTCAATGGTGGCTGGCATGGGTTTGATGTAGAAGATGGTGGGCAGGTCTAGCGGCATGGCCGGAGGAATATTGGTGTCATCTGGCACGATCCATGTGGGGCCTTTGTTGTTGTCATTGTCATAACTGTCATCACTGTCATCATCATCGTTGTCATTGTCACTGTCCTCCATGTGGATCTTGAGGATCTCCTGGGATGGCAGAGATGGGGATGTCGTGGTGGCCATGCGGAGCTGGAGGAGCTCCTCGGTGGTGATGCGGGTGGCCCAGGAGGAGGAGGAGGAGAAGAAGGAAGAGAAAGAACGGTCATTGTTACCATGGATTGTCACAATGTCACTGTGGATTGTCACCATGGATTGTCCTGTCCCCACCATGGATGGTCCTAATGTCACCATGGATGGTCCTGATGTCATCATGGATGGTGTTGATGTCACCACAGATGGTCCTAATGTCACCTTGGATGGTCCTGATGTCACCATGGATTGTCCCCTCACTGCCGTGGGAACCCCATGGTGACAATGACAATGAAAAGGGTCTTTCTCCACTGTGGTTGAGTCACAGGGCCTCTAGAGGGTCCATGAGGAGGAGGAGGAGGATGAAGATCTTTCTCCACCATGGTTGGCACACGATGACCCACTGGGACCATGGGTGGTGTGTGACAATGACAGTGGAGACTCTTCACTACCATGGACTGCCCTTGATGACAATGGAGATCCTTCATGACCGTGGTTGGCCTTTGATGATAATGGAAATCCTTCATGGCCATGATTGGCTCGTGATGATGATGACAATAAAGGCAAAGACCCATCAAGACCACAGATGGACTCATCTCCATCATGGATATTCCACAACGATAATGACCCTTCAGGAAGATGAATAGTCCTTAATGATGATGATGAAGACCCTTCATGACCACAGACAGTCCATGACAATGACAAAGGCAAAGACCCATCATGACCATGGATGGCTCTTGAAGATCAGGGATGGACCCGTCATGGTCATGGATAGCCTTTGTGATGACAATGACAGTGAACACCCATCAAGGCCACGGATGGACTCATGACTGTCACAGATATTCCACAATGATGATGACTCTTCATGACCACGGGTTCCTTGACAATGCTGATGACCCATTGTGACCATGAACATTCTGTGATGATGATGATGATGATGATGACGATGCTGATGACCCATCATGACCATGAATATTCTGTGACAATGTTGATGACGATGCCCCACCTCGAACCTGGCTGGCCCCATCCCCTCCAGCTCCTGCAGGATCTTTCAGCATGGCTCCACCAGGTGCCCCATCTGCAGCACGCTGGCCACCAGCAAACCCCAGCGAGAACCCTCCAGGACCCCCCAAATCGTCCCCGGGATTTTCCAAAACCCCTCCTAGAACCTTCCAGGACCCCTCGAGACCCCCCAAACCCCACCCAGGACCCCTCAAGGCCCTCCAGGACCTCCCAGATCCTCCCCAGGAATTGCCAGAACCCCCAAACCCTCTTGGGACCCCTCAAATCCTCCCCAGAACCCCTCAAATCCTCCTAAGGACCCCTAATGTGCCCTCTCTGAGGCCGTTTCTGTAATGACTCAAATTGCAATTAAAAGTTGACTTTCCAGAAAGTTCCTGGGTTTTTGCTGGAAAACTGGGAACTTCCTGGAAAATCAATGTTTTATCCGAATCTGAAGCATTAAAATACAGGAATTTCCAGGAAAATAAGCTTTTAATGCCAATTTGGGGCATTAAATCTGAGAATTCCTTGGAAAATCAACGTTTTATTCCAGTTTGGGATATCTGGGGGGGTCTTGGGTCCCGTTTTGGGGGATTTCCATGGAATTCACAGTATTTTAGGGGTTTCCAGGGATTTCCCAGGATTTTGGGGTCCTGGTCCCATTTTTTGGGGGTTCCCATAGAATTCCCAGGGTTTTGGTGGGGGGTGTCCATCCCATTTTTGGAGTATACCTCCCCTCTTCCCCCCCCCCCCCCCCCCCCCATCCATTTCAGTTTCGATTCTCAGACCTAGCCACCGGCTTGGCCACGCCCCTTTCTCCAATCGGACCAATCAGAGCTTGGGCTGGAGCCTAGGGGAAACAGCCCATGGCGGGGGGTCGGGGGCGGGGGAATGAGGTCCCAGAAGGTGATTGGGGTCCTGGAAGGGGAAATGAGGGTTCTGAAGCGTTCATTGGGGTCCTACAGACGGAATTCAGGACCCTCATTTAACCTGCCAGGACCCCCATTTACCCCCTCAGGACCCTCATTCCCCTGCCAGGACCCAATTCACCCCTCAAAACCCTGTTTCTCCTTCCAGGACCCCATTTGTCCCCATCACTATGGAAACAGCACCTGTGAGTGACTGGAACTTGCTGGGTTGGTCCTGTCCCCAAATATCCCCAGTGACATCACCCCAGGAATTCCTATCAGTATTTGGGACAATTTTAATGAAAATTCCCTGAAAATTCCCCAGATTTATCTCAAATCCTGTGCTGGGACGGTGGGAGGGGACAGGTGACACCAGCGATGTCCCCGATGGTGTCACCACCCCGATGACATCACAGCGGTGACATCACTGTCCCTGCAGCAGCCTCGGGATGTCCTCGATGGCTCTTTGGCACTGCTCAGCCACCGCACGGGCACCGGGGCCACCAGGGAGCCTGCGGATGTCCCCAAGTGTCCTCAGCAGGTGACGCGTGGCCAGGCGGGCACTGGCCTCCCACAGACGCTCGGCCACGGCCACCTTGGCCACCAAGGCCTCGGGGACATCGGGGGACGCCTCATTTGTCCCCTTCAGGGCGGCCTCGATGTCCCCGAGCCAGCGCTGCAGCTCCCGGGGGAACGCGGTGGCTTCGTCACACGCGGCCACCAAGCGCTCCAGCAGCCCCAGGGCCGCCTCTGCCCGCTGTCCCCTCCTGGTGGCTGCCCCCCCCTCGCTGGTGGCCACCTCAGCCTCCATCCTGGCCTCGGTGGCCGCCACCAACTCATTTTTGGCTGTCTCCACCCGCGCCTCATGTGCAGCCTCCTCCGAGGCCATCTTCTCCTTGTCCGTGGCCAGTGTCAGGTGCCAGGCCTCGGCCACCAGGTTGTGCAGAGATGGCTCCCAGCGGGTGGCCTTGTCCTGCAGGTCCCTGGCCCGGGTGTTGGCGGTGTCCGCAGTGGTGGCCTCCCTGGTGGCCGTGTCCCTGCAGGCATCTTTGATCTTGGTGGCCTCCTGGGCCAGCCGGGCCCAGCTGTCCTCGAGCGTGGCCACCGAGTCCCTCCAGGCACTGGCTGCAGCCGTCACATGGGCCCAGGTGGCCCCCAGGTTGGCCCTAAAGGCAGCCAGGGCCTGGCCCAGGGAGGTGACACCTTGGTGGCCCAAGGTGTCCCGGAGGTGACCAATGAAGGTCCCCAGGGCTGCCTGCAGGGACTCTGGGGACATGGCCAGCATCACGTCCCCATAAGGCCCGGCCACAGCGGCCGCCACCTCGCCCAGGGTGGCCACCACGGCCACCAGCGCCTCCAGCAGCTGTGGAAGGGACAGGGGAGGTGTCAGGGACCTGGTGGCACTTGTGGCCTCCTGCGGTGGCCCCTGTGCCCTCCCGGGGTCCCCTTTGTCCCCTCCCTGGAGGGCTCTGCTGTCCCCTCTGTCCCTGTGTCACCCCCTCGTCCCCTCTGCCACCCTCGGTCCCCTCCAGCCCTCTGTCACCTCCCCCCTTCCTGCCACGCCCCTGTCCCCTCCTGCCACTCCCTGTGTCCCCTCCGTTCCTCCACCGTCCCCTCCCCCGCCCCGCGCCGGGATTGTCGCACCTCGCGGGGCTCCATGACCGCTGGGGACACTCCAGGGACGCTTTGGGGACACTCCGGGGACACTTCAGGAGACGCTGGCGGGGAGGGGGGGACACTCGGAGCACACGCGGAACGGGGCACGGCCGGATGGGGGCAGGGCGAGGTGACGTCACCACCCCCTCCGCCCCCCCCCCCCGCCCGCGGGGCCAGGGCGGGTCCCCAATGTCCCCCCCATGTCCCCTCAGGGTCCCAATGTCCCCAACAGGAGCCCAATAGTCCCTTGATGTCCCATTGGGGACACTGGGGGACACACCGGGTCCTGTTGGGGACATCGTGGTGACCCCAAACGGGACAGGGGACGTCAGGGTGGCCCCGGTGTCCCCAAGGGAAGGACACAGGGGTGGCACCAAGGTCCCCAGCGTCCCTCGGGGTGTCCCCGTGCCCCGGTGGTGACAGTGCCACCCTCGTGTCCCCACCCTACCCCTGCCCCGCCAGCGCCCCCTGGGCCACCTCCAGCCTCCGCGTCACCTCCTCGTGCCCCTCCCCCGATGTCCCCAAGGCCACCACGATGTCCCCGAGCGCCCGGGCAGCGCTGGGGAAGCCCTGTCCCCGTGTCCCCCACGGCGTCACCTCCCTGTCCCGGGTGACAGCGGCCACCAACGTCCCCAGCGCCTGCGTCACCTCCTCCAGCCGCCCCAGCACATCCGCGGTGGCCTCGTTGGTGGCCGCGGTGGCCTCGGCGCTGGCCCTGGTGGCTGCCACCCGCCGGGCGCGGTCCCGCAGGCGCAGGGCCATGTCCTGCTGGTGGCGCACAGCGGTGACCAGGTGACGCCGCGATGCCTCCAAGCTCCGCCAGGCCACCTCGCAGGACACGGCCACCACGGCCAGGGCCAGCAGCAGGTGACTGTCCTCAGCCACCCCCAGGGCGGCGCGGGCCGAGTCCAGGGACACTGCAGGGACACCACACAGGTGGCATCAGGGACACGGCAGTGCCACCAGCCCAACGTCACCAACACAGTTCCAGCCAAGCGTCCCCAGTCCTGTCCCAGTGCCACCAGCCCAGTGCTCCCAGTGCCAGCCCAGTGCCACTGCCCCATTGTCCTCAACCTATGTCACCGTGCCAGTGTCACCAGCTCAGTGTCACCAGTTCAATCCCAGTGTCCCCCACCCCGTCCCAGTGTCCCCAGTCCCTTCCTGATGTCCCCATTCCAGTGTCCCCTCCCAGTGCCCCCAGTCCTGTCCCACGATTTCTGTCCCAGTGTCACCAGTCCCCTCCCATTGTCCCCAGCTCCAGCCCTGTGCCACCAGTTCTGTCCCACAGTCACCACCTGAGTGCCACCACCCTGGTGTCACCAACCCAGTTCCAGCCCAGGGTCCCCAGTCCTGTCCTAGTGCCACCAGCCCAGTGCTCCCAGTGCCACCACTCCATTGTCCCCATACCAGTGTCCCCACCCCATTGTCACTGTGCCAGTGTCACCACCCCAGTGAGTCACCCCATTGTCACCAGTTCAATCCCAGTCTCCCATCCCGGGGCAGGGAAAGGTCTCTACTGGTTTGTAGGGCTCCATACTGGTCTGAACTGGTCTGAACTGGTCTGTACTGGTTCCCTGCATCCCCTGCTGCCCCGTGCTGCTCTATACTGGTCCATACTGGTTTATACTGGTCTGGACTGGTCTATACTGGTCAGGGCAGGGGAAAGTCTCTGTTGGTCTGTAGATATTCATACTGGTCTGAACTGGTCCCCTCTGCTTTGTACTGGTTCGTACTGGTCTGTACTGGTCCATACTGGTCAGGGCAGGGGAAAGTCCCTCCTGGTCTGTAGAAGCTCATACTGGTCCAAACTGGTCTGAACTGGTCCCCATTGCTCTATACTGGTTCATACAGATCCTTACTGCTCCATAGTGCCTTATACTGGTCTATACTGGTCTGTACTGGTCTATACTGGTTTATACTGGTCTATGCTGGTTTATACTGATTATACTGGTTTATACTGGTCAGGGCAGGGGGAATTCTCTACTGGTCTGTAGATATTCATACTGGTCTGAACTGGTCTGTAGTGCCTCCCACTGAGGCAGCACAGACCCACAGCATACAGTCCTACCACCAAGATGTATACTGGTCTGAACTGGTTTATACTGGTCTGAACTGGTCTGTAGTGGTCTGTACTGGTCCATACTGCCCCATACTGGTCCATACCATTCCATACTGGTCCATACTACTCTATACTGGTCTGTACTGGTCCATGCTGGTTTTTACTCACACACAGCCCCACACAGCACCATCAGCCCCATGGTCAGCCTATGCCTGGCCTGCAGCTCAATTCATCCAAACTGGTCTGTACTGGTCCATACTGCTTTATACTGGTCTATACTGGTTTAATCTGGTCCATACTGGTCCATGCTGGTTTTTTACTCACGCACAGCCCCGCACAGCACCATCAGCCCCATGGTCAGCCCGTGCCCAGCCCGCAGCCAGTGCTGGCACCGCCGTGCCCGTCGCTCCTCGCCCTCCAGTGTCGCCGCCGCCGCCTCAGCCACGGCCCCGAGCTGCCGCAGCCGCTGCTCGTCCTCATCCCCCAGGGTCCCCAGGGCCACTGCCGGGGCCACCATGGCCTCCCGGGCCCCCTCCAGCCCCCTCAGGGCCACCTGGGCCTGGCTCAGCGCGGCCTCGGCCTCAGCCAGTGCCGTGGGGACGCTGTCCGGTGTCCCCAGGGCCTCGGACAGGGCCACCAGGGCCGCCAGGGCCCGGTGCCGTGCGGCCACTGCTGGGGCCACCTCTGGAGGGAGGGCAGGGGGGGACACCTGGGGACAGGAAAGGGGGGTTAAGGGGGATAGGGGAGGGGTTTGGGGGATTCTGGGGGGGAGTTTGGGAGGTCGCCAGTGGGGTTTGGGGGCTCCCAGGTGAGGTTCCCCAGGGATTTGGGGCTTCCCAGTTGAGAATTCCCAAAGATTTGGGGTTTCCCAGCTGCCCGGGTGAGGATTTGGGGGGGTCCCAGGTGTCCAGGTGAGTTCCCAAGGGACTCCCAGATGATGTTTGGGGAGTCCCAGGTGAGAATTCCCAAGGATTTGGGGTTTCCCAGGTGTCCCAGGTAAAGCTTCAGGGAGGTTTTGGGGTTCACAGGTACCCAGCTGAGATTTTGGGGGGTTCCACTTGAATCCCCACAGAAATCTGGGGACTCCCACCCCCCTTTTCCCCGTCCCCGGCCCCTCTGAACTCCCCAGACTCCGGAACTTTCCACTTCCCTTTTCCCTCCCAGCCGCACCCATGGCCCTGGGGATCCCCAAACTTCACCAAATCCCCCCAAATCCCCCCCCAAATCCCCCCAAATCTCCTCGGGTGCCCACTGGGGGTGACCCTGGGGTTTTGGCGTTCCCACCTTGGGCTCCATCCCCGTCCCCATCCGGAGGCTGCGGCTGAAGTTCTGAGGGCAGAGGGCATCGAGGCTTGGAGGAGGGAGGGCCCCACGCCTTGATCCTCCCCCGAGGGGCAGAACTGGCCCTGCCAGGACCTCAGGGAACCTTTTGGGGCTGGCTTTAACCCCTCAGGGCCTGGATCCATCCATCAGGGCTCCATTTCCCTGCCAGGACCCCATTGACCCCTCAGGGCCCTGATTTCCCTGGACAGGACCCTATTTTACCCCCATTCACCCATTCAGGACCCCACTTACCCCTCAGGGCCTTCATTTATCCCTTCAGGACCCATTTCTCCCTCAGGACCCCATTTATCCTTCTAGGACCCCATTGACCCCCTCAGGGCCCATTTACCCCACCCAGGGCTCTGATTTCCCCTGCCAGGACCCTGATTTGGAATTGGTTTTGGAGATTGTTTGTGAAAATCCAGCAGGATTTGGGGTCTTGGAATTGGGATTGTTTTGGGGACCCAGCACTGGAGATCTTTTAGGATTGGATTTGGGGTATCTGGCATTTGGGATCTGGGATTTTTTGGGATACAGGATTTGGGATTTGAGAGCATTTAGAATTAGTTTTGAGTGTCCAGTAGGATTTGAGATCTTTGAGTGCTTTGGGGTTGTTTGGGATCCAGGATTGGAGATCTTTTAGGATTGGATTTGGGGTATCTGGCATTTGGGATCTGGGATTTTCTAGGATCCAGGGTTTGGGATTTGAGAACATTTAGAATTAGTCTTGAGTGTGCAGTAGGATTTGAGATCTGGGATTTGGGATTGTTTGGGATCAAGGATTTGAGATCATTTGGGACTATTCCTTGGGATCCAGCAGGATTTAGGACCTGGAATTTACCACTGCTTGGGATCCTGGATTTGGTGTAATTTTGGAATTTGCTTGGGATCCAGAATTTGAGAAAATTTGGGCTTATTCCTTGGGATCCAGCTGGATTTGGTATCTAGGGTTTGGGATTGTTTGGGATTGGTTTTGTGTATCCAGCAGCATTCAGGATCTGGGATTTTTTTGGATCCAGGATTTGGGATTTGAGATCATTTGGGATCATTCCTTGGGATCCAGCAGGATTTGGGATCATTTGAGAACCCTGGGGGCCCCAAACCCCCGCCTCCGATGTCCCCAAGGGGTCCCTTTTACTGCCCTTCGCACCCTCCCATTGATGGCCCCGCCCCTTTCCCACGCCCCATTCATGCCCGCACAGGCCCCGCCCAGATTCGTTTCCTTCCAGGCCCCGCCCCTCCACTCCCCATTCATCGTCCGCCCTTCCCCCCTTAGGCCACGCCCCCTCCGCTCTCCATTGGCTGTTGCTCCGCCCCTTTTCCCACGCTCCCTTTCCTCACCCACCCCAATCCCCGCCTCCCCCTGCTCTGCCGCTCCCCATTGGCAGAACCACACGGCTCCGCCCCTCTGTGGGCGTGACTACAAGACCGATTGGCGTTGATTGACAGGCTCTGCTCAACGGCGGCCCCGGGGGCTGGAGCCAACCCGGGCCGGGGGCTCGGGGGACCCGGGGCGGGGGGAGGGATTGGGGGCGTTTCGGGAGGGTTCAATCAATGGGGCGGGCCCAGGGGTTGCCGGGGGGGGGGGTCCTGGTGAGTGTGGGGGAACCCATGGATTGGGGAGTCGGGGGTAGGGGCGTCCCCTGGGTGGGGTAGGGGCGGTGAGTGAGGGGTCCTGGCGCACTGGGGGGGGGTCATGGACCGGGGGGGTCCCAGCGCTTTGGGGGTCGGTAAAGGGGGGGGAGGCAGTGAATGGGGGGATTCCAGTGCGGGG